AGTTCCCACATGCAAACTCGTGTATATATAATATTACAATACATGCATATTAAATATGTGCTTATAATGGCATAGTCTATATTTGTAACTTCACTTTCACTATTACTTCTGAAAGAGATACCACCTCTGATTCCCAACTAAGTACTGTTGAGAAAGAGTCTTAAAATGGTTTTTAAATAAGTAGAACTTTCACTTTGGCCACAGCAAGAGCACATGATTAATAATGATACAAAACACTCCTCATTGCCAAGAATAACAATCCTGAATTTACAAGTTTGTCAGTGAGTATTTGACTTTTCTTTATTCTTAGGTTCTGGGCTTGTTACTAGAAATATCAGCCTAATACATCTCCTAACCTGTTGACCTCATTGTATGAATAGCTTCTGACCTGTAAATATAGTTTTTCTGGGTGGTTAGGTTGCTGGGTTTTTTTTTTTTTTTTTTTTTTTTTTTTTCTGGTCAGACTGTTGTTAACATTTATGCATTCATTCTATTATCCATCTTCTTGGCTAATTCGTGTTTCCACTCAGAGGAAAGTAAGAAAGGTGAGGACAAATAGCAGGTGTTAACTCAAGCCCTTCATTAGAATTGTGACTGAGAAGATCTGGGGAGTTCGGTGTCTTATAAATGAAAGTAGGTTTCTGGAGTGGACAGAGGAAAAGCACCTTCTGGTGTATCTGGATCTGGTTCTCAAAGGCTTTGAAGGTTATAATTAGTTGCTACTTAATCACATAGCTGTGGGGCTTCACAGCTTCATTTCTGATCTGCAGGGCTGTGGTCAGAGAGAGGATTAGATAGGCAGGGCCTGGGTGTAGTCTGTTGGTCACTTCCTGGAAACAGTTGAACATTGACTGGAGGACCACCTTATACCCTTGGCCATCAAGCTAGAAGAGTAGTGTTTGCCAAGCTGACCTGGACAAGGGTTGAAAGTGCCAGACTCTTGAGAAGGCTGTGGAGCGGCAAGGACACCCCAGGTCTCCAATGACACGTGAGCTTGGAAGGATACACTATGACACTGCTTTGACTGCTTTCTCTTTCCCAGAAGCAAACCTGGGGGTGAGGGGAACAACGGACTCTGAAATTCTCAGCACTAGTGGGTGGGCAATGGGATCAATGCAGATTAGTGTTGAGGGGCAGAAGTGCAGGAAGCGTCCACATTGCCCCTTTCCTCATTCCAATGTGTGTTTTCCAGATCTCTAGTGTGGACTATGAACACTCTCAAGGATGCCTTCAAGACATTGCTAAACATAGACAATGGACTTAGGCATTTCTCATCCAAACACCACACTTTGAACTCAGACTGTTTTTAAGAAGTGAAGAAGCCATTTGTTAAAACCAGTGTGAGAAGAGTAAGGATGGTTTAAGGGTTTCCTTTACAGAGAACTGGTCACTGAGGTGAAGGTTATTTTAAAATGAAGTCTCCTCATATCGCAGTTATTATCACCCGTGGTATTAGAAGTGTATTTGACCTTAAGGGGACTAGAGACATGGCCCTGGAAGGGGCAGGTAGTGGGAGGTGAAGACATCCTTTTGGTTTATGTATTGATCTCCTGACCTTTAAAAATAACATTTCTTTTCAGTTAGTTCAGAAACTTCCATTTCTCCTCTTGATTGTGCTGATTTGGAAAATGAGAAGAAGATTGTTAATCTCATATTTGTGGGTGTTATTGAATGAGATAAATATGAGAGCGAGGCTTTTCACTTTAGATCATTGTCTTAGAGCAGACACTTTCAAAGTTAGCCTCTTTATAGCTGTTGCTCTTCTGAGTTGACAAACAGTCAAATATACAGGCTTTAACCTGTCATCTTTCTTTCCCATGCTGTTGGCTTCTTAGAGGATTATGCTCTGCTCCAGAAACATACTTCCTGATTGATGGATGGATGGGTCATCCCCAAGTCCAGCGTGCTTGGTAGCTATCCTTTCCTAGTTCTCCTGCTCTTTCTTTTTTGCCTGTGTGTACTTCTACAGTCTCATAAATATATCAAGTTACTTGGATTGTTTGGGCCACACCAGCAATTTCTGTTTTCTTCTCCTGTCAGCATCTTCAGGAGAGTAATGTACACAAAGACAAAATGGCTTTCAAAGTGGGCTACATTCTCATTTCAGTATTGGTGTAGACATCAAATTGAAGGCCACTCAGCTCTACCTGCTGGTGGTTGTATGAGCTGCCTGGAGATTAACCTCTTCTAAGTCTCTGAGCTATTTTTGAGGTCAAGACTGCAACAACATTAAAGCTAGAACCCATTAGAAAATCACTTTCATCATCTCTTCTTTTTCCAAATCAGTGGCTCTCCCCCCCCCCCCCCCCGATCTCATAACCCTTTAATCTCCTTTGTAGCAGAACAAGGAGAGGGTTAGTGTTTGCATCCAATGAGGTTAGCATCCTTGAAAGATAACAGCTTCAGAAGACATCAAGATTAGAGAAGTGTGTGGAGAGACAAACTTCATCTCCAGGTTGAACTGCCTCAGTGCTGAAGGTGTTCTGTTCTCCTCCTTGTGCAAGCATGGGGCAATTTTGTGGATGTTTTACACAAACCAGGCTTGAAGTCTCCTAAAGAGACACAGCAGAAAGCCCTTTGTTGCATTATTTCTAAAGGCTTGAAGTTTGGAAGGGAAGGGATTTTGTTTTCCTCTGAGCTACACAATGGAGCTTTCACAGAACCTCTTTTAAAAGGAATAGCTACGGCCTTTGTGTTGAAGGGTGTGTCTTTTGGCAGGGTCTGCTGATGCAGACAGACTGGCTGGTGATTAACAAAGGTCATTAGACTTTGGAATCTGGCTAGCAGCCTCGGATGGTATGTCTTCTGTGTGTGGAAGGAAACCAAGAAACCAAGGCACTCTGGAGGTCCCCTCTCCAGGACACCCCTAAATCTGGTCCAGGAACATCCTGATCTAACCAGTATTCTGCTGAGACTGACAGCCCAGCCTATCAATCATGGGATAAAAGAACCTTTGGAGATCTTGGTGAATGCCATTTGAGGAGAAAGGTGCTGCTTTTCGGGAAGAAATGAAAACAGTTAATTCTTTGTTGGGAAGAGCAGAGCTTAGGAGAAGCTCAGCTTGCCCTTGTAGCATTTCACTTGTGATTGTCAGCCTAGCAGAATCCAAGAGAAGCCATGTTGTGCACGGAGGAGAGGCTCAGAGCTAAAATGGCTGCTCCTCCAGCTCAGTGGACTAGGGCAGCTTAGAGTCTTAGAGCTTCGGTGACGGTGACGCAGGAGCTTCTATCTCCTGAAAGGGTGATAAACACATTCAGCAGAGCTGTGGCTTGCTTGGCTGAGATGAAAGGACTAAGCTTGGGGGATGGGGAGTGCACATTGGATGATCTGCTTTTTTTTTTTTTTTTTTTTTCCTGTGAAGTGTTCTAAATGCAGGAGTCGTCTGCACCATGGAAAAATTTGTTTTCAGGTCTAATGGACTGTGCGAAAGGAGAAGTAGGGCGGGGCCTCAGTGACTGCTGTAATTTGATCCAGAGCTGATAGCAACCTCTTCCACACAATTTAGGCTGGTGCTCAGACATAAAAGCTTGTGTATCTGGAATATTGAGACTTAGTTAGCTGAAGGACTCTGGTGCCCAGTTCAATGTTTATTGAGACAGGATAAATTGCTCAGTGAAAGAAGAGGAGGTAAAACATCTCCGTCTCACTGTGCAAAGCTCTGTCCCGAGCTGGACTTCGCCAGAACTTACTAGGCTACCGGGCGAAGCATGCTTTTGTACAAAATCCTCACCCCACAACTCCTTGCACTCCACTGACACATTATGACTAGACTTTGTTCCTCCAGCAGAAATCACATGACTTTTATGTGAGGTATAGAAAATTGCATCATAAAAAGATTTGGCTGCAACGTTAGTTCTTAAGATATTTGGTTCTAGATTACAGTGACTTTGTAGGGTTTGTGATACACTTCACGAAGAGACTTATTCACTCAGATATTAACTGGGTATCTCCTCCAGGATATATATTAACACTGGAAGACCTACATCTTCCCAATATGCTTTTGACTTCTTCATGGTGGCACTCTCCATTGAGCTCTCAGGAAGCTTTCTACAGATTTCAGTCACACAATGAATTACAGAATAAGGCAAATGGACTGTGCTGTGTGTGCTTTATTCCACACCAGGCCCTCAGATTGATTTTGTTGTCATTGTTTTGTGTCCAGGTACACACTTTATGTTTGTAGAAGAGGAAGAAGAGCCCTGCCTCAGAAGCCTTTCTTCAAAACTACTCGTTTCTATAGTCTCAGTGCAAACTGAGGTGCCAAAGTATAATCTCAAACCAGAAACCAAATTTTCATCTAAAGCTGGTTGCTTGGAAATCTCATGAGAAATGTTTTATGACCTAATTAGACTAGAGAAGCTGTTAGGTTTTAATTGGTAGGTAGTAAAAGAGCAGATAACCACTTACCTCATGGCAGGGGAGAACTACACTATTTGGGGAAAGGAAGAAAGATGTGAACCCCAATATCAATAAAGTTATTAGAATAATAAAAGCAATACTAGAAGCCACAGCCATTTATTTCTAAGAATCAATCCTATTACCATTTGGTGTTAAAACACTAATGTAATAAAATGGAAATGGGTAAAAGGAATGGGAATTCAGGGTATGTCCTCTTTCCTTCTAAGAAGATTATATTTCAAAAAGAAAAAGTCCAAGAAGAAATCAGAATCAATATTAAGTTACCTGGACTTCTGAATGCGGTAGAGAAACTCAAAAAAACCGCACCAACTTTTGAAGTATTAATGTTTCCTTGACAAGTGGCATTTGAAGATCTATCAAGCCAGAAAACATTTATCTGGGTTTTCTTTCCTTTGAAGTTAGGAAGTCAAGGACTTTGTCTCTATTATATCTGATTGCCTTTCTTTGGCCAGTGTTCGAGTTGGCAAAGAGGACCAGGAGAAATGTACTGATGTTGGGGTTTATTCCATTAGCAGATCTGTAGCCACTCAAGGTTTGTGGTGAGTGTATTACTCATGGTGCTTGACTGACTTCTGCCTCAGGTTCCTGATGTGAGAGGGTAGCCCCTGATCATGGAGGTGCTTCAGTGTGATGGCTGTGACTTCCGAGCCCCATCTTATGAAGATCTCAAGGCGCACATCCAGGATGTCCATACAGCATTCTTGCAGCCCACGGATGTTGCAGAGGACAATGATGAGGAGCCACGATCTGGGTCCATGAATGCTAGCAATCAGACAGAGGTGGAGTTTTCTTCTATAAAGGATGAATTTGTGATTGCAGAAGATTTATCAGGTAATTCTACACTAAACTCATATGGCTGATAAAGCTTGATTGCGCGTTCATTATTATTATTTTTTTTTTTTTAAACTGGAAACCATAACTCTTATGTGTGGTTTCTGTACTTTCTTATTCCCTGCAAACCAGTTTTACTATTTGGGTATCATTTTCCTCTCAGTTATCTTAGGTGATGGTCCTTTTAGTGTCCCTGTGTGCCCTGCTTTTAAGTTTGAAAACAAAGTGTCTTGAAAAGTTCTAGAATAAATCTTAAAGTGGTGGAAGTTGACTTTATTCTGTACCTATGCCATCTTCATTATTAGCGCTCCGTGCTTAGTCTTCTGAACCTCATCTTGAGTCAGCATGCCTGTTGAACATAATGCTCATTATTGAAGAATAACTGCAATAATGGTGCTGGTTTGTGTGGGTGAATTTTATATAGTCTCTTACTTTCCTTTTCTCATTTTACTCTCCTTTAATATTCTCTTTAGGTCAAAGTGCAGCTGCATTGGGGAGCGGAAGTTACTATGGCCACAGTCCAGGATATTACGGTCAGCATATTGCCCCTAACCCCAAACCAACCAACAAATTTTTTCAGTGCAAGTTCTGCGTGCGCTACTTCAGGTCAAAAAATCTCCTCATAGAACATACTAGGAAGGTCCATGGAGCTCAAGATGAAGGGAGTTCAACAGGACCTCCTGTCCCAGGGTCCTTAAATTATAATATTATGATGCACGAAGGATTTGGAAAGGTCTTCTCTTGCCAGTTTTGCACATACAAATCACCTAGGAGGGCAAGGATAATTAAGCATCAGAAGATGTACCACAAGAACAGTTTGAAGGAGACCACAGCATCATCACCCGTTTCTGCCCCACTGCCGGATCCTGTGGTTCCACCCGTGTCCTTGCAGGACCCCTGCAAGGAACTACCAGCAGAGGTTGTGGAGCGTAGCATCTTAGAATCCATGGTGAAGCCTTTGACCAAGTCTCGGGGCAACTTTTGCTGTGAGTGGTGTAGCTACCAGACCCCTCGCCGTGAACGCTGGTGTGATCACATGATGAAGAAACACCGCAGTATGGTCAAGATCCTCTCCAGTATCAGGCAGCAGCAAGAAGGGACTAATGTAGCAGAAGTGCAGAACAGTAATGAACCCAGCCCCACATCCAACTCCCCCTACCTGTCCATGAATGCTGCAAGCCGGGAGATGCCCAACACTAATGTCTCCAATTTCAGGGGCTCCATGGGCAACTCTGTCATGAGACCTAATTCTTCTTCAGCTTCCAAGTTTTCTTCTATGTCTTACCCTCAGATGAAGCCGAAGTCACCTCATAATTCTGGCCTTGTGAACTTGACAGATAGGTCCCGTTATGGAATGTCTGATATGACTAATTCGTCTGCTGACCTGGACACTAATAGCATGCTGAATGACTCTAGTTCTGATGAGGAGTTAAATGAGATAGACAGTGAGAATGGTTTAAGTGTTATGGATCACCAGGCATCAGGCCTATCTGCAGAGCAGTTGATGGGTTCTGATGGCAACAAATTGTTAGAGACCAAGGGGATTCCATTTAGAAGGTTCATGAATAGGTTCCAGTGTCCCTTTTGTCCTTTCCTCACCATGCATCGGCGCAGCATTTCCCGCCACATAGAGAACATCCACTTGTCTGGAAAGACAGCTGTCTACAAATGTGATGAGTGTCCATTTACTTGTAAGAGCTCATTAAAACTTGGGGCTCATAAACAGTGTCACACGGGTACATCAGATTGGGATGCTGTGAATTCTCAGAGTGAAAACCTCTCTTCCTCTTTGAATGAAGGTATGGTATCTTACGAGAGCTCCAGCATCAATGGTAGAAAGTCGGGAGTCATGTTGGATCCATTGCAGCAGCAGCAGCCACCACAGCCACCTCCACTGCCACCACCGCTGCCACCACCATCACAGCCACTGCAGCAGCCACCGCCACCGCAGCTGCAGTCACCACACCAGGTGCCACCCCAGCCACAGCCACCACCAACACAGCAGCCACAGCCACCCACACAGGTCCCACCCTTGCACCCTTACAAGTGCACCATGTGTAGTTACTCCACCATGACTCTAAAAGGGCTAAGAGTCCATCAGCAGCACAAGCATTCCTTCTGCGACAACTTGCCAAAATTCGAGGGGCAGCCCTCAAGCCTACCACTGGAAAACGAAACAGATAGCCACCCCTCTTCCAGCAACACTGTGAAGAAAAGTCAGACCTCAATTCTTGGGTTATCCTCCAAGAATAACTTTGTAGCTAAGGCCTCTAGGAAGCTTGCTAATGACTTTCCTCTTGATTTATCACCTGTGAAGAAACGAACAAGGATTGACGAGATAGCGAGCAATTTGCAGAGCAAAATCAACCAAACCAAGCTGCAGGAAGATGCGATCATCAATGTTGAGGATGATGAGGAGGAAGACGATGACAATGAAGTCGAGATAGAGGTTGAGCTGGACAGGGAAGAAGAGCCAACAGAACCCATCATGGAGGTTCCCTCTTCCTTTTCAGCCCAGCAGATTTGGGCCAGAGACACCAGTGAGTCCCAGAAGGAGCCCAACTACAGAAGTATCACCCATGACTACAATGCCACCAATGGGGCGGAGATTGAACTCACACTTTCTGAAGATGAAGAGGATTATTATGGCTCTTCAGCAAGCATGAAAGATCATCAAGTGTCCAATACGGCTCTGCTAAGCACCCAAGCCCCTATCTATGGGACAGAACACAATAATGAAAATACAGATTTCGGTGACTCTGGAAGGCTTTACTATTGTAAACACTGTGACTTTAATAATAAATCTGCCCGGAGTGTTAGCACGCACTACCAGCGGATGCACCCATACATCAAGTTCAGCTTCAGGTATATCTTGGACCCCAATGACCACAGCGCAGTGTACAGGTGCCTGGAATGCTACATCGACTACACCAACTTTGAAGACCTCCAACAGCATTATGGTGAACATCACCCAGAGGCCATGAATGTACTCAACTTTGACCATTCAGACCTGATCTACCGGTGTCGGTTTTGTTCCTATACAAGCCCAAATGTCAGAAGCCTGATGCCACATTACCAAAGAATGCATCCCACGGTGAAAATCAACAATGCCATGATATTTTCAAGCTATGTTGTGGAGCAGCAGGAAGGGCTGAATGCTGAGTCTCAGACCCTACGAGAGATTCTGAATTCGGCTCCCAAGAGCATGGCAACATCTACTCCTGTGGCTCGTGGCGGTGGTATGCCATCTACCTTTAACAAAAGTACTCCTTCCAAGACCTTTACTCCAGAATGTGAAAATCAGAAGGACCCTTCGGTCAACACCGTTGTTGTTTATGATTGTGACGTTTGCTCATTTGCAAGCCCCAACATGCACTCTGTCTTGGTTCACTATCAGAAGAAACACCCTGAAGAAAAGGCCTCCTACTTTAGGATCCAGAAAACCATGCGCATGGTGTCTGTGGACAGAGGCTCTGCCCTTTCCCAATTATCATTTGAGGTGGGTGCTCCATTGTCTCCCAAAATGTCCAACATGGGTTCCCCACCCCCCCCACAGCCCCCACCACCAGACCTCAGTATTGAGCTTTACTACTGCAAACACTGCTCCTACAGCAATCGGTCAGTTGTGGGGGTGCTTGTTCACTACCAGAAAAGACACCCAGAAATAAAGGTTACTGCCAAATATATCAGACAGGCCCCTCCCACAGCTGCAATGATGAGAGGGGCCGAAGGGCTCCAAGATTCCCCTCGGCCTTCTGGCCCCATGCAGCTGAACCGGAGCAGTTCTGAGAGAGATTGCCCTCCTGTGGAGACTGAGATGTTCTTTTGCCAGCACTGTGATTATGGGAACCGGACGGTCAAAGGTGTCCTCATTCATTATCAGAAGAAGCATCGGGACTTCAAGGCCAATGCAGATGTCATCAGGCAGCACACAGCCACCATCAGAAGCCTCTGTGACCGAAACCAGAAGCCTGCCAGTTGTGTGCTTCTCCCTGCCTCTGGTATGGAAAGGGACAAAACGAAACTTCGAGCGCTTAAGTGCAGGCAGTGCTCATATACCTCCCCTTATTTCTATGCACTGCGGAAGCATATCAAGAAAGACCACCCTGCCCTGAAGGCCACGGTCACGTCCATCATGCGATGGGCATTTCTAGACGGCTTGATAGAAGCTGGCTACCACTGTGAGTGGTGCATCTACTCCCATATGGAGCCCAGTGGTTTGCTCCTGCATTATCAAAGGCGGCACCCTGAACATTATGTAGATTACACCTACATGGCTACCAAACTGTGGGCTGGGCCAGACCCATCCTCTCCCACTCTCACCATGCCAGCTGAAGCCAAAACATACAGATGTAGGGACTGTGTTTTTGAAGCCGTATCCATCTGGGACATCACCAATCATTACCAAGCATTCCACCCCTGGGCCATGAATGGTGATGAGTCTGTGTTGCTGGATATCATCAAGGAGAAAGATGGTGTGGACAAGGCCATCCTCACACCTGAAGAGTTGATAGGCCCTGTGAATTGTGAAAACAGTCTGCCCACCCCCCTCCCTGAGCAGGAAGCTGAGTGCCCAGAGGATGCCAGACTTTCCCCAGAGAAAAGCATTCATCTGGCTTCAGCTAACCCTGCTATATCTTCCACCCCATACCAGTGCACCGTGTGCCAGTCTGAGTACAACAACTTGCATGGCCTCCTCACCCACTATGGGAAGAAGCACCCTGGCATGAAAGTGAAGGCTGCTGATTTTGCACAGGATATTGACATCAACCCAGGTGCCGTCTACAAATGCAGGCATTGTCCATACATCAACACTCGAATCCATGGTGTCCTGACCCACTACCAGAAGCGACACCCAGCCATCAAGGTGACCGCTGAGGACTTTGTGCACGATGTGGAACAGTCAACTGACATATCCCAGAATGATGTGGAGGAGACAAGCAGGATTTTCAAACAAGGGTATGGTGCCTACCGGTGTAAGCTGTGTCCATATACACATGGCACTCTGGAGAAACTCAAGATCCACTATGAGAAGTACCACAACCAGCCAGAATTTGATGTCTTTTCCCCATCTCCCCCGAAGCTGCCAGTCTCCCTCGAACCTGAGATAAGCACTGAAGTGAGCCCCTCCCAGATCTCAGTGACGGAGGAGGAGGTGGGCGAGGACCCCATGTCTACTTCTCACTTCTCTACCTCGCATCTGGTCTCCCACACTGTGTTCAGGTGTCAGCTCTGCAAGTACTTCTGTTCCACCAGGAAGGGCATTGCCAGGCACTACCGAATCAAGCACAATAATGTCCGTGCCCAGCCCGAGGGCAAGAACAATCTCTTCAAGTGTGCCCTGTGTGCCTACACCAACCCCATCCGCAAGGGATTGGCAGCCCACTACCAGAAGCGCCACGACATCGATGCGTATTACACCCACTGCCTTGCAGCCTCCAGGACCATCAGTGACAAGCCCAACAAGGTGATCATCCCATCCCCACCCAAAGATGACTCCCCACAGCTGAGCGAGGAGCTACGGCGGGCCGTGGAAAAGAAAAAGTGCTCTTTATGTTCCTTCCAGTCTTTCAGTAAGAAAGGCATCGTCTCCCATTATATGAAGCGTCACCCGGGGGTGTTCCCAAAGAAACAACATGCCAGCAAGCTGGGGGGCTACTTCACGGCAGTCTATGCAGATGAACATGAGAAAACCCCATTGATGGAAGAGGAAGAGAGAAGTAGCTTTGAGAGAGCCGAGGTGGAGGGCGAAGCTCAGGACATCGAGTGGCTCCCATTCCGCTGCATCAAATGCTTCAAGCTGTCCTTCAGCACAGCGGAGTTGCTGTGCATGCATTACACGGACCACCACAGCCGGGACCTGAAGAGGGACTTCATCATTCTCGGCAGTGGCCCTCGCTTCCAGAACTCCACCTTCCAGTGTAAGCACTGTGATAGCAAATTGCAAAGCACAGCCGAGCTGACCTCACACTTGAACATTCACAATGAGGAATTCCAGAAGCGTGCCAAACGTCAGGAGAGGAGGAAACAGCTTTTGAGCAAGCAGAAATATGCAGATGGTGCTTTTGCAGATTTCAAACAAGAGAGGGTAAGGATATGTTTTGATTTCCCTTCCCCCAGGAGGCCTCTCATCACTGGTGTCCACATGCACTTCTCTCCGTTGCCAGCCAAACTGCTGCAGGCTTCCTAGTGACTTAGCTTGCCAGAGAGCTCAATAAGTCAATTAAACATTTCGAGCTTGATTATCTCCCATTCTGTGCTCACCCCACTCCTGTTCTCCTCCTCTTCTCCCTCTGACTCCTTCCATGGTTCCCGAGGGGAGGTTTGGGGTGGTTTCTATGTATGTCTTCCTGCCAAGTAGTGTATACTGAAGCCTAGTTAGACGACAATGCTGGATTTTCTAAGGTATTTGTGGGCTGTCTCTTGGCATCCTTAGCCCGTCTCAGCCACTGCTTGGTCTCCAGTGTTTGCTTCAGGAACCTAACATCTCAAGAAATAGATTTTTTTTTTTTTTTAAATCAAGAAGTTCGTTAAAGGAATAGTTGTGCAACATTTCACCTGCATAGTCAAAACTGGTCTGAAAGCCAGATGACTTAGTAGCAGTGACTGGGCTTCTGCACAGAAATCTCTCCTCACCAATTGGAGCCTAACTGGGTTCCAGAGACTGCAACTAGTAGGCAATGTGTCCTGATTGATGAAGTTGATATACTTGCCTCTGTCTCCTTTGGTTTTTATCTGGCTAATCCTCTTTAAAGTACAATATCCAGTAAACTGTAAGGTGACTGCCTTTGAGGGAGAGTGTGGTGTACTGATGGCTACCTCTGTATTTTACCAGCCTTTTGGTCACTTAGAAGAGGTGCCAAAGATCAAGGAGAGGAAGGTGGTGGGCTACAAGTGTAAATTCTGCGTGGAAGTGCACCCAACGCTGCGAGCCATCTGCAACCACCTCCGGAAGCACGTCCAGTATGGCAATGTCCCATCTGTGTCAGCTGCTGTGAAGGTGAGAAGGGGGAGGTCCAGGTACCTGGGTGTGTGTGTGTGTGTGTGTGTGTGTGTGTGTGTGTGTGTTTTATTTATTAACCTATTACCTGGAGTGTGGCTTGGGATGCGGACATTCTTCTGTTATGCTTGGCTTGCTTTGCCTTGTTTTGATTTCTTTGCAGGTTGGACCTTCTGCTTCACTCTGTTCAGGGAAAGGTTTGATTTTGATGTGATTTCTGATTCTGCAGGACAGTTTGGGGGACAATGATGGTCCTACATTCTCATATAGGAGGCTTGGAGTCACGCTATTTCGTGCTGATTGTGACCACATCCTCATTTTGAATTGTCAGAGCTCATGGGAGGAATTGAGTGGGCTCTTCTCCCATCATCTGGGCCTCCTGCAGCCTCATTCATAATGCCATTAGGCAAATGACACGTGAAGTCCAGGAGAATTGGCATTTTTCTGCTTTCTAGGTTCTTTGAGGTGTGCAAGGGGCATCGATCAAACATAAAATAAAAGCCTTTAAGACCTGGTTTGTCTGTGGCACCCTTCTTTCCGTAAGGTGCAAGCCTGTATCTTCCTTCCCTCCACCTCCCCTTTACTAGATCTCTCTTGAATATCATAATCCAAATAGCAGCTACTGTTTCAATAGGTCATTCTCCACCCCACCTTCTAGAATACAATTAGGTACTTCCTACTTCTGAGCACAGAAATTAATTTAGGTTTCTGCCCTTTCCATCTGGATATTGGAATATATTTTTATTATTTGCTCTTTCTTGACCTTTGTATCCTGTTTACTCTGAAGGTAAAGCTTATCTTTTCTTGAACACTGAACCCCTGTCTCTGATGAGAACACTGGCAACCCAGGGACAGAGGAGATAGCTTGTATTTTACTGTAATGTATCCCAGGCTTGTTCCTAGATTCACATAAGAGAAAACTCAGTAATCTCAGGAACTACTTCGAAAGCTGATGCCGTAAGAATCAGACTGCTCCTTAACTTTTGGAATTAACCACACATTTACCTTCATTTGGAGGTGGCATTTTTATCTGCAAGATAGAGAGAGGCAGGGAGCAAAGATCTCTGCCCAGTTTCATTTCCAAATGGTCCAGGGTTCTTAAATGGCTAGTGTCGTAGTTACGGTTCTATTGCTGTGAAGAGATGCCATGACCAAGGCAACTCTTACAAAAGAAAACATGTAATTGGGGACCTGATCATATTTTCAGAGCCTTAGTCCATTATCATCCCAGTGGGTGTGGGGAGTGTGGTAGAGTACCTGCAGGCATGGTGCTGGAGATATAGCAAAGAGCTTTTATACCCTGACCCATAGGCAGCAGACAGAGAGAGGCAGACTGGGCTTGACATGAACTTTTGAAACATCAAAGCCCATAGCCTGTAACACACCTCCTCTAACGAGGCCTCACCTACCATAAGGACACATTTCCTGCTCCTTCTCAAAACAGTTATCAGTTAGGACCAAGCATAGAAATGTAAACCTACAGGGCCATTGTCATTCAAAGCACCACTACTAGACCATGCTTTTTCCTTTTCCTCCTCTCCCCTCTCTTCCTCTCTCCTTCCAGCTGCCCTGCTTCCTTCTCTCAGAGCTATAATCCTAATCCAACTTTATTTTGGAATAGATGAGATCACAATTTAAAAACTCTTTCTAAGATTGGTAATGAATAAACTATCTTCAGACTGGGAAAGCCCATGTCACACATCTCAAGTTCTCTGTTTCCAAAATATGTCTCCCCCAAACCAACACTGCTGTGAAAGAAATAGCACTCAAACTTGCCCTTTCTCTACGGGAGGCCAGAGAGGCCAGGGAGAGAACATTGGCAGGAGATGCTAAAGAGCTAGGGAGAGTGAAGAGACAAGAAGAGAGCTGGGTTAATAACAATGGATATTTATTTTGTTGGTGGGGCATGTGTGTGTGTGTGGTTTTTTTAGCAGGAGGCTGAAGACCCTTCCCACTTGTTCCTGGATGGAGTGGAAGCAACTGGAGATGACAGTGGCACCCTGGTGGGCCGGGTAGATGGTGGACACTGCTTGCTTGATGGAATGTTGGAGGATGAAACCCGGCCGGGGGGATACCATTGCAGTCAATGTGACCGAGTCCTGATGTCCATGCAGGGGCTGCGTTCTCACGAGAGGAGCCATCTGGCCCTGGCCATGTTTACCCGCGAGGACAAGTACAGCTGCCAGTATTGCTCCTTTGTTTCTGCTTTCAGACACAAGTAAGTGACACTGGGTAGTCTGCCGTTCTCATTGGGAGGAGGTATTTTAGGGAAGGCAGCTAAGCTGCAGCAGGAGACAAACAGACAGATACTCAGATGAGTAGGAAAGCTCAACACAGGATTCCTACCTGTGCTGAGGTGTCCCCAAATATAGGGAGACTTTGACCTCCATTCTTAGAATCTATAAAATGGGCCTAAGAGCAGTAGTGATGAGATGTCATTAGAGGTAGTCAACGTGGGCATTTATTGCAAATTGAGAAATTGGGGAATTGTGATGCTTTACCCAAGGGAAGATGTTTTTACTGCTAGGGCCACCAAATATTTAGTCAAAAGTTAAGTATCATTTGAAGAAGTCAAGTGTGCAAATGAGTCCCGTCAATCTGCGTGACTCTAGAGTCATTGGAAGGTAACAGGCTTATGGGTGTTAAGGAGTTGCTTGGGGACCAGTGAGGTGGAGGCGTGGGGAAAGGCATCTCTTGCCAAGCCTGGCGACCTGAGTTTGATTCCTGGGACTCACATGGAGAAGTTGGGAGAGCTGACTTGTGCAAGTGGTGTCTGACTTCCTTGTGAATGCTATGGCAGTGCAGGCGAAAAACTGTCTCTGTCACTCTCTTACACATTGCTAAACGTCTGGGGAGTCTAAGAAGCAGCAATGTCCCATGTCCCATGGCTTACCACAGCTTTGCGAGTGAAACTCGGGGTGATGAGAAGGGGGCATGTTTCTGAGATGAGTAAACTTTTGAGTAGAGTAAGCTTTCTATCACATACATATTCTTCCTCTTAAGACTGGCAGAATATTGAAGGTAACTAGCTTTCTGTCTCTTTCTGCTGTAATTGAAAACAAGTGAGGTTTCCTACTGAAAGCAGGAGGAGGAGGAGGAGGCCGTGTTTCCCTGGAGAGGAGAATAGATGACATTCCTTTTATTGTGATCCAAAGTCTAACATCTAATCCATACTGTGGCATTAACACTGCTATTGTCTTCAGTTCCGTAAGCATTAAAGCAACTGCATAATACACATAGGCCCTTAGTAAGTTATTTTGAATAAAATAATAATTTATGCCTGGCACGACATCTTCGGAAAATATGAAGATGAGCAGGGTAAGATTGGCTTATGAAAAAGAAAACTACAACAACAAAATGACTGGGCACGATAAGGTACACTTTTTAAAAAGATTTCAGTGAAGTGCTGTGAAATGTATTTCACTATTTTTTTTATAAATTTTTAGTTTTAGTTCATGTGCATTGGTGTTTCTTTGCCTGCATGTATCTCTGTGTAAGGGTGCCAGATCCCTTGGAACTGGAATTACAGATAGTTGTGAACTGTCTTGTGGGTGCTGGGAATTGAACCTGGGTTCTCTGGAAGAGCGGCCAGTGCTCTTAACCACTGAGCCACCTCCCCAGCCCCAAGTGCTGTGAAATTTAACAAAGGACAATTCACCCTCTGCTTGGGGAGAGTTATAGATTATGGCTATTGAGTCAAGTCTTACCATGGGAAGGTGGGGCCTGCATAGTTTGGGAAGTCAGGGTAGGGAGAATAGAGGGTCTTAAGTGGAGAGGATGTCAACCTCACTGAGGCCTAGCTGGTGGTTTGGTTTTAAATAAGCCTTAACTTATGTGAAAACAAACAGTGGAAGTTACCTCCTGGCTACCTAAATAGACATCCTATTAGGATGTCTTTAAATGCCAGGAATTAGTGCATTATAATTACAGTACTGGCAAAGGAAGAGTCTGGGATGAGTAACATATTCATAATTACTAACAATCATTGCACCTGCTGATATAGCGGGAACTGTCTTAAGTATCTTCAATTATTACCTCTTTATATTTACAAAACAGGCCTATGAGCTCTGGCCCCGTTATTATCTCCATATTATAGATGGGAAGAGTGAGGCCTAAAGAGACTACATAGTTTTCCCGAGGCCACATAGCTCATAAGTAATAGCTGGGATTCTGTCTCAGGTGGTCTGAGTGTAGTTCAGCCAGACTTGAGTCTGGTTGGCTGAGAGACTGGCAGGGCCATGTACGGAAATGAGGAGAATTGGCTTTGTAGGACAGTGTGCTGGGTTTGTGTAGCACATGTTGCTTGCAAGGAGACATCCAGAGGGAGCTGTCCGGGGGCGGTTGTTAGTGTAGCAGTGGAGCTCGGGAGAGCATTCTGTTGTCTCAATGGTAATGCAGCAACACTGCACGTGAGTCATTGAGAATGGAATGTAGACCTCTGGGGCGCTGTGCAAACGAGAACATCCCACACCTTGCTGGTTACATGTATTAATTTTCAGACTAATAACTATTAAGAAGTGCTAGGGGTTAATCCCGATTAAGTCATGTCCTCATAAACTCCTTCTGGGAGACTGATGTGTGGTAACTGTGGTTATATTTATCGGAGGGTTTCCGGCTCACCCCTTCCTTGCATACATGATTCCTTGAAATACACTTGTACTGTGCTTCATGTTGCTCTAGATCCTTGGAACAAGGCAGCTTGTGTGAACAGGTCAGGCACTTTGAAGTGCCCCCCCCCTGTTCCTGATCAAAGTAGAATTAATGATGTAAGAAAAGTTAACCCTTACTGGATTTTCTAACCTCCCTCTATCCCCCAGCTCCTCTCACCCTTACCCTCTCTCTATCTGTGTCACTTAGATAGGCTCTCTCACTAACTGGGCACATAAACTTTCTGTATTTGGATTGCCATCTTGCAGGGACCTGTGCTCTGAGAAGAGGAAAATCATGATCTGCTATGGTTTATTATGAATCCAATCTCTCAATCCCAAAACATCTTCCTCTCTCTCCCACCCTCCTTCCCCCCCCCCCCCTTCCTCCCTTTTCTTCCCTCCCTCTCTCTCTCCTTTCATGCAGTTATACTAGAACTTACCACGTAGCCAAGGCTGGTCTCCTGATGTTCACGCCTCTACCTTCCAAGTACTAGGATCAAAGTTATATGCTAACACACTGGACTTCTAGAACGATTCTTTTACCGCTTCCTCCAGGTTCTCCTCCTCTTAAGGATCCTCTCACAACTTGCCCTCATTGTTTTTTTTATTAGTTATGGTGCACATTGTCATTAGAAAACAACAGGGAAGACTTGGAACAGCTTAGAAGTCGTGTTTTGATGGGAAAATGTTTGTGGTTTTTAATCCCAGTTTCCTTTTCTTCCTTCTCAAGCTTGGACCGGCACATGCAGACCCATCACGGACACCACAAACCGTTCCGCTGCAAACTCTGCTCTTTCAAGTCCTCCTACAACAGCCGGCTGAAGACACATATCCTCAAAGCCCATGCTGGTGAGTTGGTATTCATGCTATACTTCTCCCTCACTCTCTCGAGTTGGTTACCCCATGGCCTTGAGTGAGATGTAAATTCTCGAATAAGCACAATTTATCCTTGGGATGGTTGCTTGTTCAGTTTTAAAGAGAATGCAAAATTAACTTTCATTCATAAAAGCAAAGAAGTCACCAATGCTTTGTTTGCTTGATGCTACTAGTAGCTTAGAATATGCTGTTTTATGTTTTTAAAAAAATGTATGAATTACCTTGGCTTGATCCAGGAATTAAAGCTAACTAACTACTGAGATAGAACATAAGCTAACAAAAGACTCAGGAAGTGTGAGGTTTCTCGGGAGATGCCCTTAGGTGAGCCATGCTTGAGTCAACGAGCGTCTGGGAAGCTGTGCTGTTTCTGTCACTGCGTGGTATTCGTCCCAGGCTGTGCACTAAGCTGTGACAGCCATCATCGTTTTCATTCCTGCAGCATCCCAAAAGGGCAGGTGTTATGTGATTCTCTCTATGCCTTTTGGAGCACTTTACTCTGGACTGTCTTACAGAAGCTGCCCAGAGCCTGGCTCTTCACTGTTGCTGCCCACTTATTACCCGTGTCTTTTCATCTGCTTCACGAGCATTGGACCTGCTGAATTGTTTTAGTGTCATGAAACTGCTTAAGCCACACACTGCCCTTAGCTCCACCAGGGATCAGACTTGGAGCAAGGCGTTTAGCCATGTGGGCTTGTTTCTGATAGTTTTTAGGTCTCTGGGAAACTTCTAAAGTCCAAGGAGTAAGTAACTTCAGCATTCACCATACTTTTTTAAACTCATGTATTTTGTAAATTATTCAGCAGGGACAACATCTTGGTGAGCTTTTCTCATTGACTTCTGTCTTGTCAAAAAAGCATTTTTTACCAGTTGGGGGCTTGGTGAATGCGTTGGCCCAGGTAAAGGTCTCTGAACAATCCAGATGCAGCAACTTCAAAGCAAGAAGCCTCCCTGTGCTCGATAGTTGGCCTGAAGAAGTATCCAGAAAGAAAGTAAAAGTAATACAATTCTGTTTTCAGTACACCGTGGGAGCTTGGTCACTGACAGGGCTCTAAGCCATTGAGAGATCCTTGGCTTGGAGAAAGCCATATGTTTGCTATAAGTCTCTCTAATCTGTCTGTTCTCAGTTGATTGCTTTATTTATTTTCATTGGTGTCTATAGGTAAGCCCTTGCTATATAGCTCAGGCTGGACTTGAACTCACTGCCTAGCCCAATCTCAAACTTGCAGTAGCCCTCCTATCTCAGCCATCAGAGTCCTGGGATTACAGGCATGTGATTTCATTCATACCTAGTGCTCTGTTGTGATTTAGAGCTAAGTGGTATCGTAGGCCAAGAAGAAAACCTGGATTTGACTCTTAGGTTGTGAGACAGACTCATAGCTACCTAGTAAGAGTCATGTAACCAAATTCACATTACCATGAGGGGCTAGAGAGGTGGCTTTGTGGTTAACACTTACTGCTCTTCAAGAAGACCTGAGCTGGGTTCTCAGTAACTATAGTGCGAGGCTCACAAACACTTGTAATTCCAGTTATAGGGAATACAACACTCTCGGGCCTCAGTAGGCACGTGTATATATATGTGGTACACATAAATTAATGTAGGCACACATATACACATAAGTAAGAATAAACAAATAAGCCTTTAAAAAAATCAATGATGACAGTGCTGTCTCCCGGGTTTTAAATTTAATCTTAAAAATAACTGTTTAAGTAGCTAGCAGGCAACACATCTGTAGTTCTTGGATTTGGGCAACTGAGGCAGGGGATTCCCTGAGTTCAGGAATTTGAGCCAAGCTTAGCAACATAGCAACGTACCACTTTTAAGACAATGCATTTGAAAGTGCATATTTATTGAAGAAAATTTTAAAACAAAAGGAATTTATTTAGTCATCCATAATGTTATCATATAAAGGGTACTATTAAGTTTTGATAATTCCTGTCCTATTTTCCACAGTTGTGATTATAATATCTGTAAAGTATGTTTTATGTTTCAATTCACTCTTAATTTTCTGTTTTATTACCAGTTCTCAAGAATTTATTTTAATGGTGGTTATTCAAGAGGATATACGTACCTACATTTGTCTAATTGTTTTCTTTTGTTTCAAAATCTAGGTTGTTTCATATCTTCCCAGCATAAATAGTATAATTTTTTCACCAGTTTGCTTATTTACATTCTCATTGTGTGTGTGTGTGTGTGTGTGTGTGTGTGTGTGTAAGACTTCTTACAGGAAGTCAGTTCTTTTTATCATGTGGGTTCCAGGATTGTAACTTGGGTCATGAGCCTTGCCCTCAAGGGCCTTTACCCACTGAGCCACCTTGCCAGTTTATAAATAATACTAATCTCCAAATAAAGTTTTCTCTCTGTATTAAGGGTGTATCCCTCCCTCCTTTTCTCCCTCCCTTCTTCCTCCTTCCCTCCCTCCCTTTTTCCTTATCTCCCTTCCTTGCTCATTGGGATTTTTGTGACAGTATCCTTCTGTTGCAGCCAGGCTATTCTCAAACTCAATCTTCTTACTTTAGCTCAAATGCTTGGGTTGTGGGTGTGAACCCCTATGCCTGGCTTGTAAGCTATTTTCTTAATTGAGACTCTCAGGGGTAGGATTATTAGATTGGAGGCCAAATTGCTTTGTTGTTACTCTAAATGAAATTGATTTCTGGTTTGATCAGACGAGTATATATCTCTCCAATATCAGACAAACTCACTGACAACCTTGATTCTTAAAAATGTAATGAACTTGAAAGTTGGTTTACAGCAAAGGCTAGCCAAACTCTCTTCTTAATTTGATAATGGCTTTCTGTGCTGTATTCCGGTTCCAATGTATTATTTATTGAATGCTGAAAACAATATCCATGTTCCCCCTCTCACTTAGGCTTAACATATATAATTCTCCCTCCTAAAGAAATGTTCCACCTCTGTACTGTTGATTAGGTAGGGAGTGGAGTTTCATGATGAGCTTGCCCTGAGCCCCAAATGTATGTGGGGAGAAAATGGTTAAGAATGAGGAGATAAGTAGTTCAGCAGAATTAAACATTGGGAATTAACACAGTAGTGCTCCCATGGAGGGACAGAATGTTTGGGAAAACCACTGAGATGAAGAATTAAAAATGTGTTATTTTCTGTGGTTGACTGAAACCTGCTGCCATCGCTTTTTAGTGTGGAGATGGAAGAGGTTTAACCCTTTCTGAATTGGGTGCCACATTGGGGGAGAACCATCCCAACACTGCACTACTATAGGTAGGACAGGATCTACATGGGGACAGGCAACTTTACCATTGGAGCTTGTCAGGGCTTCTTATTTAGAACTTGTGGTTGTGAGAATGGGCAGGGAGCTGTCCTCAGAAGGTTTCTAGACCAAGCACCCCTAGAACATATCTCTAGAGGGAGCCGATTAACGGTGTGGATTTGCTTTCTAGCCCTCTTTCTCCTGACTCCCACCTTTCCTCTCTACCTCACCACCATCTTCTTCCAGGTGAACATGCCTACAAGTGTTCCTGGTGCTCATTTTCCACCATGACAATCAGCCAGTTGAAGGAACACTCACTCAAGGTCCACGGCAAAGCCCTGACCCTTCCCCGGCCACGGATTGTCAGTCTTCTCTCCTCACATAACCACCACTCCTCTCAAAAGTCTAGCCCAGCCGAAGAAGCGGAGGACTCCAACGGTAAGAATGGCTTGGCAAGATGGAGTCAACTGTGTAGGATGGGGCGAGTTGGGATTTTTCTTTTTCTAGAGGAAATTCTTATGTGAAAATATGATTGTTCAAAGGAAGGAAAGGGTATGAGCACTCTGGATACTGGAGTAGGAAGAGGTGCAGACCCCACATCTTTGTGATGCCCTGGTAATAATGTCCATGGGTACCAATGAAGCATCACGCTGGGTAGGATGCGCTGGTGTTGGGTTCTACCATGGTAGATGCTAGTGAGATGGGAATGGAATACACAATAGATCATCTGTTGTTCCTATGACTATCTTGTCTTATAAGAAAATGTCCTGGGAGGTGTATGGAGTTGTCAATCGTGTAAGTTAACCGAAGCTCAGAATAGAAGGGAAGAGTGAGTGAATGAATGAATGAATGAATGAATGGGGCACTCGTATCAAAGTGGGTCACATTGTTTTCTTAGAGCTGAAGTATGTTGCTTAAGTGTATCAGAGACTCATTAGTTGGGAAATGGGTTTAGAACTGCTTGGCTTTTAGTCATAGCTTCGAAAGACAGGCAAGAAGATGTGGAGAGATGTGTTCACTGGCACTGTGACCAAAGCATGTCTAGAAGACAGTCTTGACTTAGATCCAGTCAGTCAGCATGGCATCAGGAGCGAAGGGACAGCTTCTTGTTTTGATCAGACCTGGAAACAGACCTGAGCTGACAACAATCAGCTTGCCCAGAATATCTGTAGGCGGGGCACCTCGGTGGAGGAGTGGAGAGTATAGGAGGACCTGAAGCTCCTCCCTTCCCCTCTGATGCATGATGCCTTCTGCAGCATGTCTGAGCCAGCAACTGTTGTGACCTACAGTTCTCCCAGCTTAGGAAGACCTTTCTCCCAGCATCTACAATTCCATCCCTGGGAGGAGCTCGGTGGATGGAAAGTGGAGCAGAGACCTGGATTCTAACCATCTCCCTCTGGCAGTCCTGTTTCCTTAGGCAGTCTTAGTTTCTATTCCTGTATGTGAGGTTGAATAATGATATATGCAAGCCTCAGCTGCTTGTCCTGAGAGATTAATGAGACAAGGTGCACATGTAAAATGCCTGCTGTAATGTCTGACACACAGGAAGTATCAGTGACTGGCCATTTTCATTTCTGTGATTTTCATCTCTTAGTCACGGTTGTGTTCTTTGGGACCATTTATGGCAAATGTGGATTTGGGCTTATTCACTCGAGGGCTTAAATCTAGATGTTCTTCAAGATGACCTGAGACTCTGATAGCCCAACTTGCTAACAGAGACTAATTCTCAGGTTATCAAAACTGTAATTAATGATCTTTATTCATGAAATCTAAGAAGAGGAGGGAGCAGAGAGGTTAGTTAGCCCTGAGACCAAAATTAAAATAAAATGAAAAGCCTGAGTGTCAGACAGCACAGAGAACCTAAGAACTTCTGACAACCAGGAGGTTTCTTATGTGCCTATGAGGGACTGAGCGTCCCCAAAACTGGTTTAAACTGTGGAGGGAAGCCAGTGCTGTCGGAGTCTCCACACCAGAGCGCTTTGAGAGCACATGTGAAAGAGTAAAGAAATAACCCCCTTTCACCTGCACAGTCTGTTCCCTGGGTGCGTGGGGGTTATAGTATATTGTGACCAGAGGGCAAAATAAAATTCAACCTAAATTATAAGGTTTTTATTAATGTGAATTTTAATTAATTGGGTTTTTTTTTCTTTTAAATCTGTAATGGAAACTGTACTCCTGCAGTCATTTGAGTGAAATGGATCCACTTTAATACTATTCCCAGTAAAGCCTTTTCCTGGGACAGTCTACTCAATTCCAACCCTTCCTTTGTCTCCCTTGCAAGATTGGTCTCATTCCTGGGCTAAGGGGGTCCGGTAGACTACTTACTCATTCGTTTCCACCTTGGCTAAAGAGAGCTGAGTTCTGCCAACTCTCTGAACCTGTATTGGCTACAAACTGGTGTAGGCACAGACAAACCCTAAATAAACACGAGGCTGTTTTGGCCCTCTGGCACCAGAAAATGAAATGCTTAGAAGACACTAGCACATACATCTGAGCTTACTACAGCCCCAATCCTGAAGCCTAATTTTTTTTTTTTTTTTTTTTTTTATGGTGGTGGTGGAGGGGGGGGACAAATGTCAGACTCTTGGAAGCTGGACTGTGGAGAGGGGTGGGTGTCTCAACGACATGGCAATCTGACATTGAGTGACTGTAACACATAGCCGCAGGAAGATAATTTCTATATGCAGTGGCACTTTTTATTTTCTGTCTGGAGAAAGGACACATTTGCTGTGAACGCTATAGGTGGAAACCATTTGCTGAGACTCACACAAACTCCTTGGTCCTGTACTATTTTTAGCATACATAAATAACGCATATCTAAGGGCCAGCCACGATTAGTTTAATTTGATGACAAGAAAGTTGATCAGGGGGTGGGGGTAACAGAAAGGAGGCATCAAATAGGCTGTTCTCGTGAAGGAATAATTATGCGGAAAGAATAATTAATAGTTTGTGCATTCGATAAGTGTTTTCCTAAAGCCCCACTTTAAATCTCACATTGTTTAGCAGGGCCAGGAATGACTTAGGAGGCCCACACTAGGAGGACCATTTGCCAGGGAGCTCATGGTGGATTCCTAGAAACAGCTCAGTCTGGAGGATGGAAAAACAGCTGTGGGGCTAGACAGTAGCCTGTAAATCATGCTCTGAATGGTGTTTGAAACACACATGTGAAATCCAATTGCACGTTTTAATAGGGAGAAGCTGTGGAGCTATTGGCTCTCATTTAGGGTTTCCCACATTGCAGATGCCAGGACACTGTGAACACATGAACCAAAAATGTGTTGCAGGCCTAAGGGAGTGGAGATCCATAAACCTAGGGAAATGGCCAGTATGTCCTTGGCTATCTAAATCCCTAGTGAGTGATGAGAGTAAAATGAGTTGACATGCTCACTGCTGTTTTGCAGCGGGCAAACGCTTGCTGTCGTGAGAACAAGCCAGTTTTTTCTGGCAGAGGGAAGCAGTCCAGAGGAGAGGTTTTGTCTAGGCTTCTAACCCAGAGGGATGCACTAAAGGAGTGGGGAAGGAAGCTGAGAGAGTAAAAATGGGAGGTAGAGGGCAGCTCTAAACCCCATCTGCCTGGATACACACCTGTTCAGAGCTTCAACGGGGCTCTTGGGCTGGAAGCTGTCAGTCTTGACTTGTTTCATGAATCCTCTAAATACTTTGTGTGATCAGTTGTTAGGAAGAAAAAGCGATGGTCGCGTGGTATTGGTTTTGTGTATCGGATAATGGGAAATGGCACTCACTCACTATTCAAAACAATGCATTAAGGGGGAGACAGCAAGGTTGTCAACAAAGTTAAGTGTTCCACAGGGATGTGTTTACTGTGTTCCTTCTCCTGCCATTTAAATATAGGACTGACTGGCTTTTATCAGTCTGTTTCCAAGTCTCCTCTTTCAGTCCAGAGAAATCGGTACAGGCACGGCTGTAAAATAACAAAGAAAGTAGGCCAATGGAGTTTAGCCATGAGGTTTGTTTAGGCCTGAGAAGCTACACAAGACATGAGCAATGGATATGTAATTGGAAATTCGGCCATGTCCTGCCTTTTTCCTCCTTGAATTTCCCCTGGCCAAAAACAACCAAGCAAGCAAACAAATAATTTCTTCTGCCTATCCAGTCTGCCATATGAAATTGCTTGCTTTAGGAATTAGCTGCCATGAGACTGTTTAAACAAAAGGTAATCACGAAGACTAAGTGTAGAATGAGAGAGAGAGAGAGAGAGAGAGAGAGAGAGAGAGAGAGAGAGAGAGGTGACCTTTCCAGCCTGACACCTAGTTAGCAGCTTTGAGAAAAACACTAAAAATTCTTAGTCATAATACCCCTCCATTGGAGAAATCTTTGATTTTGTGACTTATTTATAAAAATATGATGTGCTATATGATTTTTGTAGGTTTTGGTAATTCTGAGGTAACAGGAAAATTTAAGGAGCAGTGTGATTTGTTTGTTTATTTAGTCTTGTTTGTTTTTTAAGACAGGCTGCTCTTGAACCCACTATAGCACAGGCTACCCACAAACTTACAGATATCAGGCTACCTCAACTTCCAGGGTGTTAGAATCAAGGGCATCTGCTACTGTTCCTGGTTGCTCAATGACTTTGTTGCTGTTCTAACTTTTTTTAGTTGCCCTTTCAAAACTCCAGATACCGTAGTTGATAGGACTTTTTTTCACACCTGAAAATCACAGTTCTCTACATTCACTCAGAGTTAGCTTCAGTCATTTTTTGCAGAATGCCTTCACTAACCAATCCTGGCGTCACCTCCTGTCTCTGTAGCTGCTACCTTCTTCCTTCCCACCTGCACCTGTTGAATAAGCTTTGCAGAGCGTGGGGAAGGATTTTCTCCTTGATTGCGTCTTTCTACAAGTTTATGACTTTTCCTTCCTTTGAAGCATGTTTTTAAACTCTCTGGGCCCTGCCTTGATTTTTATCACTGCTGCCCCTTCCCTGTGAGCTGTATTTGCACTTGTAGGTATATGCCATGGTTTGTCCCTATTCCAAATGGGACAGTCAGGTAGGTATTTGGGAAATACAGTATTAAGTTTATATCTATTCAAGAGAGACATTCAAAAGGCACCAATTTGGAGATGATGCCTTGGGGACTATTTTCACAGAAAGTTTCTGATGCAATTATCCTGCCATAGTGAACAGATCTGCCGTCACATAGCATTTGAAATATTGTCATTGTTCTCTACTTGCGAGCATCTGTGTAGGAGGGAAAGTGGATGTTGAGATGGACGGGTGTCTCAAGAATGAAGAAGTGTGGTAGTGTTGGAGAGAAATGGTTATTGCTATAAGGTTGCCAGTAGCTGAGCTGCCTCTTGTATTCAGTGTATACAGTTGCCCCTTCAGTGGACAGTTAATTTTCTGTCTCTGGGACAAATGAAATCCAAACTCAAAAGATCCTGTGTAGAATGAAGCAAACTAATAAAACTCATTGATGAGT